TAAGGCACTGGGTTGCTGACCACAAGGCCAGAAGTTCTAGCCCATCAGCCATTCTATGGGAGAGAGATGAGGCTGTCTGCTCTCATTAAGATTCATAGTCTCGGGTCACAAGGATTTAGAATCAATGTGTTAACAGTGACGTTCATGTTTTGGAGAGTGTAAGACCAGACCAAAAGGGACTGAGGCATAACCAGCAGCGAGAGATTGTAATGTAAAGTGAGGTTGAGACTAGGCAGTGGAGGGCTTTGGAAGCCATCTGGGAGCAAGACCAAGTTTTAGAAAGGAGAATACCAAGTTAAATGTGATATTTCATTTGACAGTTTAATCTAAAAGCTATGATTCTGAATTGAGAACAAGAAAACATTTAGGAATGTACTAGAACTATTATCCAGGCATGCGGGCTTTATGGCCTGCAGTTGAGGTAATGATAGAAATGGAAAAGATGAGATAGTTGAGAATTTATTAGAAAGTATTTATTATTCTAATACTAGAAGAATAAGGAACAAATAAGAACAGAGAGAGGAGCATGAAGTCCATGATGACTTCTTATTTTCAGGCTGGGGCACTGAGGAAATGAAAACCTTGGTAGTTTCCCCTGCCCTAACCTTAGGCTCCAGGCTCCATCATACTTTCAGTTCATCTGACTCCTGGTGTCAGCCTTAGATACAGCTGCGTACTTCAAATTCTTGCCGTCTTCTTTTTCTTTGCTCGCCGGCATGGATGACAATATACACAGGTAGCCACACACAAATTATTTGTTAGCCATAGTGAGGCGCCTGCTGTCCCTCATATGCACTGTGGTTTTGTTTCTGTTTCATTGGCATTTTTGAAGTCTCTTGTCCCTCCTTTTCTTCCTGGAAAATGAAAAACCTGTCTATAAGTAGTGTAAACATCCCCTCCTTTATAAATATGTTTCAAACGTCTCAAGGTTGTCAGTCATACCTCTGTGTCCTATGAATAGTTTCTCACAATCTCTAGACAGCATAGAGTCAGGTACATGTTTGTTATATTTGAGGAGCTTCAAAAACTGCATGGAAAAAGTCCATTATATTTTCATTCCATTTTCCGAGAAACTTTTTGAAGCCTTGTTATATGTCCTTGTATCAGTCTTAGGGACATTTTTGTTTGTTTGTTTTTGTTGAGAGTGGAAACTAATACCTATTGATTTTTTTATCTATAAACTTAATGTAGAGGCTAGTTTGTATTAAATACTTAATGTTCTAATTCAGCTTTCAAGACATTCGACCTGAAATTAGCTTATGGGAAGTATATTAATGGTGATCTAAATTTTGAAAATAATTTCTCACAAAGGTACAAAGCTGTCACTGATGCCTGTTCACTTCAGCCAGACATTGACTTACTCCCATTTGGAGACCAAACCGAAATTGGAGAGAGGGTAAGCTATGTATAATTTAAATACTGAATAAAAATGCAGAAAAGCTTTCTGGCTATCTTTAGTTTCTAATGGAGCAAAATAAAATTTGAGAGCTTGGGAGTTATGCATTAGCTTAGCAACAACCTCTGGGATCCCCAGTGGTACAGTGGGTTACGCATTGAGCTGCTAACTACAAGGTCATTTGTTCAAATCTATCAGTAACTGCAGGAGAAAGACAAGGCTTTTTGCTCCTGTAAAGGTATACAGCCTCAGAAACTCACAGGCAGTTCTACCCCAGGCTGTAGGGTCACTCTGAGTCATAACTCACCCGATGGCAGTGGTTTTGTTGTGTTTTGTCACAAACTCCTGAAGTGGGAGGGGCGGAGCTCTTTGATACCATTCGGACTTACTTATTCCTGGAGTAGTCGTGGTGTACTTAACATTGCTCTAGCCACTCTGGAATTCCCAAGGAAATAAGATACTGTCGTATCTGGCTCTGACTAAATGTATCTTTCTTCACTTGGAACTTAAATTGGTTTGAAGATTAAGATTACTTCTGACAACTTCTTCCATGATTGTCAATATCTAGTAGTTCTTCTCTTCCTGTTGTAAACAGTGATGTCATGCTATTTTGACAAAATGAAAAATATTTATGCGTGTACTTTTGATAACCCAAAAATCTAAACCCACAGCTGTCTAGTCGATCTTGAGACATAGTCACCCTAAAGGACAGTGTAGAAATGCTCTCTCGGGTTTCCAAGGCAGGAGTGGTTGGTGCATTGCAACTGCTGGCCTTGTGGTTAGCAACCAACCCTCAGCGCTATAGCCACCAGCACTCCCCTTTATAATCGCAATAGCCAGTTCACCCCCTTTAGCTGTCAAGTGCTGGGCAAAAATATTTGTATGCATCTTCTCATTCTTCTTAACAAATCTATTCTATGGGTATTTTTATCCATATACTGATATTGTACCTGAGAAAATTGAAGCTGAGAAACATTAAAGAACTTGCCCAATCACAGAATTAATGATGCATCAAGATCAAGCTGAATCTGTTGTCTGTGTTGGTGATGGCTATTTTTTATGACAGTCCACTGCTATTGGGTGATGTCATTGAGTCAATGCAGACTCATCATGATCCTACATAACAGAGTAGAACTTCCTTATAGGGTTTTCTAGGCAGTGTGCCATAGAAGGTCACTTATTAGACTATTAACGACGAGGTGAGCAGTTTGAAATCACCATCTGCACTGAGGGAAGATGATTAGGCTTTCTATTCCTGTAAAGGGTTAGCCTTGGAAACCCACAGGGCAGCTTCGACACTGCTCTGTAGGGTCACTCTGAGTCGGAATTGACTAATAGCAGTGAATTTGGTTTGGGGTATTGATCAGTAGGAGCCTTGGTGGCACAGTGGTTAAGCATGTGACTGCTAACCATAAAGTTAACAGTTTGAACCCACCGGCTGCTCTGTGGGAGAAAGATGTGATAGCTTGCTCCTATATGGATTACGGTCTTGAGGATCCTACGGACCGTTCTACTGTGTTCTAAAGTGACTCACTTGGCAATGGGTTTTATTTTAAAACTCGAAATAGTTGAGTTTTCAAATGATCTTACCAATAGTATCATAGCCTTATCCTTTTAAAGGGAATTTTTACTATGGACAATTTACCAATGGAAATGATGGGTGATTTGGATATTTTCTTTTCTAGGGCATCAACCTGAGTGGGGGTCAGAGACAGAGAATCTGTGTGGCGCGAGCTCTGTATCAAAACACCAACATAGTTTTCTTGGTAAGAACATGGTCTTCCCTTTGATTTATATTTGATTTTGGAGACTTTGAAAGAGACAAGGTAGGTAACTCTAGGAAAAAGAGTTTAATTTGTAAAAGCAAAGAGCATATAGGGAAACAACTCTTCACAGCACAAATCATGAGATTAACATTGAGTTGAGAGACAGAAGATCTTCTCGGTATCCAAGGGACTGTGGTATCCTAAAGGCTTGCTGATATGAGTTTCTGAATCATTAGAGTAAGTAGCGATGGAGTGTGCATGGTGCTGTGCCTTAACTAGGCAGGATCCTAGGTCTTTTCATTTCTATGTGTTGGTAAAGAAAGGGGTTCCAGAGAAGGTTTTCATGGTCGGCACATGGTTTCACTTAACAGAGTACTCCTTTTCAATGCATGTAATTCAGACTGTGCGTTAGGTTTATATGTGAAGTTTTAAAACTGTAGGATGGCTAGACCTAGCCCTATGAGTTGTTATCTGTAACACAAGATCTGCAATCGGTGTCTTTAGCCAGGCCGGTTTGATGATGGTATTGATTGGCTTTTGTCCTTTTCGTCCCTTGAGCAGGAGGGAGCCAACACAATGAATAAGTAGACAATGCATATGGAAGATAAGAACATTATGTAAATATTTGAAGTTTTTTTCACAAATTGTATAATCAATCTTTTTTGTTCATGAAATTCTTCAGTGGGTGTTATAAAACTTGAGTCTTGTTTTTAGCAACAGTTTTTCTTTCTCATTTAAAGTATATTCATTCACTATAATTTTATTCCAGTTTACCTATTTGTAAAATGAGAATGACAATCATATTTTTGTCTATATTTTACAAACTCTATCCTATCAGGTAAAATCAACTTTTTTTTTGGCAAAAGAGATTAACTATACTATATCATACCCATTGGAAAATAGCTCAGTGCATAGTTCCACAGTTACTTGTGCTTGTCTTATGGGAAAATTCTTAGAAAATAATAAATAATTTCCTACTATGTCTACATGTTAATATTCAGGCATGCTACATAGGCATATTAAACAGACTCACATGATTATAGTCTATGCTATATTGATGGTAGGTTTTTGAACTTGAAGATTCTATATATAAGAATTCAAATCACTTTAAATAGTGTCACTCATTTATAAGTAATTCTTAGGTTGGAAGAGGAAATATAGGGCCATACTAGATAAACCCTGATTAAAGGGGAACAAACATGGAACAGAATTCAGATTCTTAAACTATCTGGACTTCGTGCTTTGGTGGAGACTTAGAAGCCTCTGTGAGACCATCAACCTGAGATACTCTTCTAACCTTGAACCAAAACTATCCCCTGGAGCCACAATTTAGTGAAATAGCAGATAGGCACACAAATAAAGAGAGTGTGGTGGTCCATTAAAAACAAATCTATCTGAGACAAAAGATCAATAATTATCCCAAAGGTGGGAAGATATGAGAGCAGGGAAACTATATTCGAAATGGAACATCTAGGCCATTAGAAATGTAAACGAATTGTGGAAAATATAAGTCAAATCATTGAATTAATCTTCCTGTAGAAATTTTCCAATGGAGATTTGCTGTGTAAATGTTCCATGAAAACACAATAAAATATTACCTTAAAGAAGAGGAAATGAAAGGTCTATTTTAAAATTTATACCTTTTTTCTGAGAATTTAAAATTATACTGACTGTCTTTATAAATTGGATATGTAAGATAATTTTCCTTAGTTGGTATTTCTACTTTCTACATTAATGGACTTACATAAACAGTATATAAAATTCTCATTCTCCCCACCCTCATCCCTGTCCCCCCATGCTGCTGTTTGCAGGATGACCCATTCTCTGCCCTGGACATTCACTTGAGTGACCACTTAATGCAGGAAGGGATTTTGAAATTTCTCCAAGATGACAAAAGGACACTCGTTCTTGTGACTCACAAATTGCAGTATTTGACACATGCAGACTGGGTAAGAGTTTGAAGCGCTCTTTGTTCACTGGGCTGTTGACAGTTACAGTCTCGGAGAGCCACAGGGTGTCGCTATGAGTCAGCATTGACTCGATGGCAGTGAGTTTGGGTTTGGGGGTTGGGATATTTTTTTTTAAATAGAGTCATTGTAAATGCTTTCTGGAATAAAAGTAACTTTTGCTGACTTAAGGTTTTTTTCAAATTCTGCTACTATTGCCTTTCCTTAGATCATAGCTATGAAAGATGGAAGTGTACTAAGAGAAGGGACTTTGAAGGACATTCAAACTAAAGATGTTGAACTTTATGAACACTGGAAAACACTTATGAATCGGCAAGATCAAGAATTAGAAAAGGTAATTGCTTATAGTTCTGAAGGGCCCAAGATCCAGTTCAGAAGGGTCAGGAATGTATTGTATAAATGACTGCACATGCTTTCCAGTAAGTATTTTCTTATAAAAGTTTGATAATATTATAATCCTTATCTAAAATCCAAAATAATGGTATCTGTATATATTATTAAAGGAAGGTTACTTTGAAACTATATGGTTCTAGTAACACCTCTAGCTCCAGTGCATTCAAAACTTAGACTAGCTAAATAAAGCAAGGCATTTCATTTCATAGCTCTTCCATAAGATGAGACTGTTTTTAGCCATCACTCACAAAAGTCAAGACAACTTTGCAGGAAGGAAGAGCTGTGTGGTTGGAGTAGTAAGCCTTGTCTGGGATGAGACTGGAAAGTGAAGAAAAGTGATCAATGGAAATAGTAATAAAATCTTATATTTTTATAGTTTTTAAAAGGCCACATTTTTCATTATCTTCTTTTGTTCTCACAAAACTCTTTATGAACAAGTAAAGAAACGATTATTTCACTTGTACAGATGAGAAAACTGAGGCTCAGAGAGATAAACTAATTTGACTAAAGTGGTAAAGCACATTCAATGAGTGGGTAAATGGCACTCATAAATCTTAAACCCAAGTTCGAAGAAAATGTAATTTCAGCATAAATACGACGTCGGATGTAAGGATAGCTTCGAATGAAGCTAGCATAGCTGGAAACTAGAGTGAATGTGAAAGAGGAACAACTATGCTTTAGGAGATGAAATTGTAAATTGAGGTCACACATTTTTGAAAAGATCTTTTTCTTGGTTTGGAACTAGTAGGTATCCAGAATTTGGTATACCTTTCTGGGAATAGGCATTATAAAAGGAAATAAAAGCAATTCTATTTTGTAATATGAAATGCGCAAGTCATAACATTTTTGAAAAATAGCAAGAAATTAAAATATTATCTTAGAAAGGAAAAGAGGGGAAGAGAAAAAGATCAAAGAAACTCTGAGATTACTCTGGCTTCGGTGGCGTTGCCAGAGATCTCAAAAATCAACACACATGGGAGAAAGAGATTTGCAAAAGTCTGTTGTCGAATAGAGCACATCACCCAACCATTGAAATGATGCGATCGATCGAAAGATTACAAGGCGTATCAATTAGTGTCCATTTAGGAATGATAACGCTTGGTAATACATTATTTCCACATGGCTCCCCCCCCCCAGTGATTTAGATGCCAGGGACAAAAGAATATGGCATACTTTAGGAGCAGGGCAATTTATGGTTTCCTTTGGAAAGATCTGGAGGAGAAAAGAGAGAGCGCGCACCCTTGGCCCCATTTCAGAGTCATCCTGGTAAACAGGCCAGGAAGAAATTCTGTTCGGTTGCATTTAGCAATGACGCCATCACTTGAGATAGCGTAGCTCTGCGATGAAAGGCACACGAAAGGGTCATCAATCAGAGGTGGAACAAACTAGGGTGTGGATAGGGCAGATCCAGTTGTGAGTGGAACAATGGCCAGGAGATGACAGAATGAATCAGGCACCTGCCAGAATCCTAGCCAGGGATGAAGGAATGCGACTGCCACACAGTGAAAGGCAGGCACTAGAATCATTTGAATCCCCAGGCTGTGGGGAACAAGACCCCTAGGCCACCATGGGGGAGTTTTCTATAAAAACAGTTTTCTGTTGAATAGATAAGGCAGGTTAGGGTCTTTGCATAGAGCAGTAGTTCTTAAAAACACACACAAAAACAAAACTCAGGGGTGATTTTTGCCTCCCGGGAGACATTTGGCAGTAACTGCACACATGCAGTTACTTATGACAAATATGGCAGGGGTCATGCCATTGGTATCAGCTGGGTAGGGGACAGAGGTGCTGCTACAGAGGCTACAATGCACAGAATAGCCTCCCACAAGAAGGAACTAGCAGGCCCCAATATCAATAGCGCCAAACTCCTGCCCTAGAACCACAATTGACTAAGCAAGAAGAGAAGGATCATGAAACCCAAGGACACACAAAATAGCCTGTCTCCGGTCTTTAGGGAGGACTACGAATTTAAGGGTTAAGATGTAAATAGGGAAAGTTAGGTTAAAAGGATCACTGAGGAAACTGCAAGGAGGACATATTTTCATCTGATTAAATATTATTGAAAACATTTTTTACTTTGGATGATAAAACCTGTATTATCAGAATGTTTCTAAGCAAAATAAGCCAGCATCACCTGATGTCCTGTGGCTTTCCTTCACCTAGGCCTGTCCCCAAATCGGCATCCCTTAAATAGTGATTGGATAAATTACCCCACATTTGTATTTACTTATTGAAAATATCAACACAATTGAAAATGTTTAACATATCATGAGCATTTACTCAGAAAAAAATGTGACTTTGAAGATTAAAAATAAAATCTTAGTGAGATTAAATTCATTGAGCATGGGCAGTTGAAGCCAAGTCAAAATCTTGTGCGTGTTTTCCATTAAGCTACACATAGTGAACAGGGATCTTCTTTAACTTTTCATTTTTCTAGCCTTATGTACAAATGTTAGTTTTCATACCGTTCCAAACTTTACCAAAGTCAGTGCCATCAAGTGGAAGCCAACTCACAGTGACCCTATAGGAGCACAGAGTAGACATGGTCTTGTGAGTTTCCAAGATTAATTTCAAAATTAGTGTGTCAGCTGTGTGGAATTCAGGATGCATCTCCTCACAGAAACACGGTTTCTGAATTTTATCCATGGTCCACACAACTCAATTGACCCTACAATGTGGCTGAACTAATGCCGCTTCAGTTGTGAGGTCAATGGGGTGGGAGAGTTGGAAGCAGGGATGTAGGATAGCACATGCTTCTTTTTTGAAAACAGGACACGTCTGAAGCAACCATTTAAAACGTGCCAGGTTTCTTTGGGTCTTTTTATCTTTTACATAGTTCTCCCTTGTAGGGATTTTTCCTGAGCACCTTGGCACCTAAGTACCTCCATGGCCTATTTACTTCAAACTGTCCTACCACATTTCCAATTGGAATTCTTTTATTGGACTTCTTTAGGGAGGTGTTAAAAGAACTCATTATGATTGAACAATTCATCGTCATAGAGGATGACTGACAGCGTCTTTAAAAATGCAGAACTACAGCCATTTTTGAAAGATGGTAGCCATATCTATAAGAAAACATCTGCCAACTGAGAGTTTTTATGTGTATGGTTTAGCAATATTGCTTACATTCATCATGCTGCACACAGCCATTGCCACTGTGCACACTTCATTCTGCCACCATTAGCACATGTCCAGTGTCCGCTAAGCAAGGACTCCCTCCTTCCTTCCCCGTTTATGCCTGATAACCACTATAAGCTTTTGTCTATTTCATTTAAGTGGGGTCATAGGATATTTGTCCTTCTGTGTCTGACTTTTGTCACTCATATAACATTCTCAAAGGTCTTTCATTTTGTAACACACATCAGGACTTCATTTTCCTTTATGGCTGAATAATCTTCCATTTTATGCCTGTCACCACCTTTTGTTTATTTATTCATCCAGACATTGAGGTTGTCATTTTTCATGGAAGGTATTTATTAACTTAAGTATATTTCTAGCTAGAAGAATGAGGAGTCACTGTAAGTGGTATAAAAAATGAGACAGTTATGGAACTATGCTTTAAAGCTGGGTGTGGGGGATGTCTCCCTGCCCCTGGTAGTATCACATTGTTATTACTTTTTTTGGCTTAACTTCTTTACATTACTGAGCTCTGAAGACTCCCTACAAGCTGGGGGCATTTGTCCCACACCCGACTCCTATGGCAGGAGTTACGGGGCTCTTGAGGGAAGGTAAAGCCTGTGCTCCACTGTGGGTGGCAGTCATGGTAAGTCAAAACTTCCCTGTGGCTCTGAGCTCCTTGACGCATAGCCTACTGTTTACTATAGGATATGGAAGCTGATCAAACAACTTTAGAGAGGAAAACGCTCAGAAGAGCCATGTATTCAAGAGAGGCCAAAGCCCAAATGGAAGATGAAGATGAAGGTGGGTCTTTTTCTTGTTGCTGAAACCTTTAAATGTAGTCAGAAAGGATAGAGTATACCTTTATGTGTATGCCCAAAGTTCACATCTTTTTATCTTTCTGGTGAATTTTTGTAAGTTTAGGAGTAAAAAAAAAGTGATGTTCTACAGGTTGGGTTATTAATAACACAAGTTGATAAACCTCTATAGTTCTAGTCAATGTGCTGTAGTAAGTCAGTAAAGGATCTCATCTGAACAGATTTTATGTTTAGTCGCTTATTCATTCATTTATATTTCATTTCATTTTCAAAAACAAGAGAAGCTTTACCCTGTTAGAAACATTTAAAATTCCTGAGACTAAGACTTACACTACACACTGTCTTGTGAGAGAATACCAGTTCCCTCTACCTATTGCCAGTAGGAAGCTTATGTTAGTGTTTGCTGTGCAGAGGAAGAAGAGGAAGAAGAGGATGATGATAACATGTCCACTGTCATGAGGCTCAGGACTAAAATGCCTTGGAGGACCTGCTGGCGGTATCTTACTTCAGGAGGGTTCTTCCTGCTCTTTCTGATGGTTTTCTCTAAGCTCTTGAAGCATTCGGTCATTGTCGCTATAGACTACTGGCTAGCTACATGGACATCCGAGTACAATATAAACAACACTGGAAACGCTGATCAGGTACAATGGGTTTTGCTTTTAAAGTGCGAAGAAAAAAATTAGATTAGCAGCGATATTCCCTTATCTGACCCACTGCTGTTGAGTTTATTTTGACTTACAGCATGTTATCATTCACCTCATGAAAGTGAGGGAAGGTCTGTTATAGGAGAGAATAGAACCTGGGATTTCCCAGTCAGTATCTTTAAGGAAGCAAGCTGTCCAATCCTGTTCCTTCTCTGCATCCAATGGGTTTGAGCTGCTGATCTTTGTAATGGGCATCCCAATCTTTATCTAGTTGGATAGTGACGGTAAGCTTACTACCAAAGTACAGTTTACTGCAAGGCGTTGGTTTCGCACATGGCTGACCTCATGTGGAGTTGTTAAGGGAGATAAATTTTAAACCCTGTTCTCTGGATAGCAAACACTCTCCTCTGATGAACTAGTAGCTCTGTTTATTTAATTCCATAGTGCCCTTCTTTATAAAGAAAAAAATGACATGGGAAATTAAACCTTATGAAGATGATATATGCATAGAGGAGAAAGGTATCTGCCAAGAGTTAAATAACAAAAAAAGCTCACTTCCATCAAATTTTTGCAACTCATAGAGTCTGTAGGACAGAGTTGAACTGCACCTGTGGATTTCCCCGGATGTAAATCTTTACAGAGCAGAGACCGCCCGCTTTCTTCTGATGATTGTGTGTTGGGATCGCAACCCCGACCTTGTGGTTAGCCTCCAAATGGAGAATCCACTCTGCTTTCAGAGCTCTCTAGCAAAAGTTATGGCGATGAATAGCTATTGAAGGAAAATTAACAAAAATGTTTTAGTAGTTAGTTGTACAATGGTGCCTCCTGTCATTTTATTTAAAATTTTCTGGAACAAATGTGCAAAGTACAAGAGGCTTCAGATTCCGAGGATTATATCTCTGGGCCTGCCACTTATTAGCTAAAAGACGAGTTAATTACATTTCTTGTGGCACAATTTATTCATCTCTAAAATACGGCTAATAATAGGACTATGTCATAGGGGTTCTGTGAAGATTTTTGAAGTCAATATTTAAAAAAGAGCCTGTGTGTCAAATAACAAAATTTACTACTCCGTTATTTTTTAAGTTAATCATAAACATTCTGGGATAATGTGTCATATGGGCTCGAGAGAGGTATGCACTTATATAGGTTCTATATTAGGTATACAAATAGCACAGAGATTTTGTGGCTATTATTCTAGGAGCACTTGATTTTCATTGCCCATGCCAGGGTAAAAGGAGCCCTGGTGGATAAGTATTAGCTGCCAGTCGGCAGTTTGAAACCGCCAAATGCTCCTTGGGAGAAATATGAGACCATCTGTCTGCTCCTGTGAAGATTTACAGCCCTGGATACCCCACACAGGCCGCTATGACTTGGAATCCATTTGGTGGCCGTGAGTTTGATTTTGGCTTACAGAAGTGAAAAGGGGGTGCTGGTAGCATGGTGGATTAAGCATTAGGCTGCTAATGCATCCATAGGTGGGCAGCTCAAAGCTGGGACAGAGGGACAAAGATGGGACAGACGGCACCGCGGAGGTTCACTGTCTTGAAAGGAGCAGTTTTGCTCTGTCCTGGAGGGTTACCACGAATCAGTAGCACTGGACAACAGTGGGTGTTCCGTACATCAGCTGGCAATCCCGAGATTAGAGATAGGACGAATGAGCTCCACCAAGTCAGAAGTCAACAATATGTTCCAAATCCCTGCATAATGATTGGGGAAATACCACCAGCAACTGCATTCCCACAGTAATCTAAACTGATGTAAGCGAATGAAGTCAACAATCTGTCTGTGGTTTCTGGGTTTTTTTGAGTAAGAAAAGAGACTAAGTCAATAATTTCATACACACCTTTTCTGTTGATTGCCTTTCAGACTTACTATGTGGCTGGATTTAGTATACTTTGTGGGGCAGGTATTTTCCTTTGTCTTGTTACATCTCTCACTGTAGAGTGGATGGGTCTCACAGCTGCCAAAAATCTTCACCACAATCTTCTCAATAAGATAATTCTTGGACCAATAAGGTAAAGAGCAGTTTTATCTTAATCAAAAACATAAAAGCATGTATACCTAAATATAAGACAAATCTCAAATTTTTTAAAATTTTGGCTACCTTGCACAAGTGAATAGGCACCTTGCCATTCCCATGCCTCTAACAAATCCAATTACAGTGCTCGAGTCCCAATTAGTTTAATGTTCTGACAGATTTCCATCTGTTTATTGCCTAGGTTCTTTGATACAACACCCCTGGGGTTGATTCTGAATCGATTTTCAGCTGACACAAATATTATTGATCAGGTGAGTACCTAAGTTACCTTCAAACTCAAAAATAAATTTGTCAGTGCAAACTAAACTAGTCCTTTAAGAATAGGAAACATGATTCCTATAAGGAGAAGACTGCTAAAACTTAAATAAAAACCCCTCTATTCATACGAACGTAAATCAAAAGCTATTGCTACAAAAATCAGAGAAGCTTTATTAAATGAAACTATCAAAATACGAGCCTACAAATGTGAAGCTTGGCACATATTCCCTGTAGGTCGATGCACTTCTGAAAGTGTGTTTCTAGCTCTATCCAAAGAATTCTGCCCTCTTCTCTTGACACCCCTCAAAATGGCAGAGTGGGCGTCCTGGTGGCCCTCAAGTCATGTTCCTTTGAAATGTCCTGTCACTTTGGGGGACAAAAAGAAGTTAGAAAGGGCAAGATCAGTGCCAACCAATGGATAGGAGAATTCTAAGTTTCCCAATAAAATTCTCAAAGGGCAGCCCCTGCTCCACTTGAAAAGTGAGTAGGTACATTGCTGGGATGGAGAAAAACCTCGAGTGCGAATTTCCTGGCCTTTTTCTCAGCAGTGAACTTTGCAGTGTTATTAAGAGTCCCTCATGATACGGCCTGGTGTTTCCTGTGTCCTTTGGGAAAACCTATCAGAACGACCCCTTTAGAATGCACCAACACATGGCCGTAACCTTCGGAGGTGACCTCACTGCCCAGCAGATTCCCTAGAAACCATCCTTTGATGAACCTTTTTTTTAAAGACACTCTCCCAAGATTAAGACAAGCGTACTGCTGAAAGAGCCTGTGTGCAGTCATCCACTGTAACACGTTGTGTCGTGTGCATACACTCGTGCACGGATGAACAGGAACCCTGGAAGCAATACTTTTTTACTTACCCTCGTAATTGGTGCTATAGACACAAATTATTTCTAGAATAAAATTGCATGGGAAAAACTTTATTCACACTGATTTATGCATGTAGAAGAGGATAGTTTGAGAGTCCATGTTAAATAAAGAGAAAGAGTAAGGAGTGAAATAACATTGATATTTTTATTATAAGAAAGCAATGAGTTTGACCAATGTAGAATATTCTTTTAATTTAACGCTTAAAAAAATTGTTATTGATGTGGTGTGCAGGGTCAGGAACACATGGACTGCCAAGTGACCTTAGGGTTATTAAGTGGCTCTTGAATCAAGAGATACCTTAGTTCAGCAGTTCTCAACCTGTGGGTCGCGACCCCTTTGGGGGTCAAACGACCTTTTCACAGGGGTCGCTCAATTCATAAGAGTAGCAAAATGACAGTTATGAAGTAGCAGAAAAAATTATTTTATGGTTGAGGGGTCACCACAACATGAGGAACTGGATTAAAGGGTTGCGGCATTAGGAAGGTTGAGAACCACTGCCTTAGCTGGTGTGATATTTGGTGTATATCCTAAGGATGTGTTTGGGTTTTTTCTCTGCATTTCCTAGATTTCTAAAAATTTACCCTGAAACTAAAAAGCTCAAACTCTAAAATTGGATAAGTATAAGAACAATACCCTTATGATGATTGAGAGAGGGACCTATTCAATACAACATTGACCTCATGTGGGCTCTTTAGAATGCTCTTTATTTATTTATTATTTAAAAAAAA